TATATATATATGTAAAATATTACTTAAATAAAACTAGGAATCAAATATTTTTAGTTTTGAGAAATATTTAACAATTAAAATTATTCACAGACACTTTTGAGAAAAAAAAAAAAATGTTTTTATAATTCCATTAAATACTTTATTTTAATTCGCAGTAAGGTAGATATACGATATGTATCCGTTTATTTAAAATAATAGTTAAGTTACTATAAAATTATTTATATACACTATAATATATAGTTATACCTATTTTATATTTTTTAATGTATACTAATCACTAATAGCATACAACCTATGTTTATTTTACGTTAATCTGTTTTTTTTTTTTAAATTTTTATTTGCAACAATATAGTAATAAAATATACATGTACATACATTTAAACTAATAGTTTGAATAACACGTCTAGTCTTTTTTTGTGATAATTTCTTTCATCGATACTTAATAGATAAAATCCTTGATGGAAGAAAAAATAACACAATGTACCTATAATATGTATTGTATTATTATTTTTACAAAAGATTTTAATAAAGGAAGCTAAAAGATATTGGGTTGACTTATTATTTTGGGCCTTCGGGAGGAAACTAMTTGAACTGAAGAAAGTACTGATGTTATTTTATCGTATAAAGACCATACAAAAATGTTAAAAAGAGTAAATAAAAAATTGCCGAACATTATTTATTATTTGTTTATACTTATTTGTACCTACTTGTTTGGAACGATAAAAATGAGAATAATTGGTTTATGCTTTCACATTCCTTTTTTTTAATAATTTGAAATTATTCTTAATATACCTTATTTACATTTGAATTATGTTTACTTAAAAAGTGAATATTTAAATATCGATGATATTGCCTGCTGTTTGCTATATTAAGATTAATGCTACAATTCTATAAAATACATACAKTAATATGCTGATATTGTTATTATCTATGCTTTATAGTACCTATATATATCATTTCATGTGAATATAACTAATTCTTAACAAGTAGTCTGAAATTGTGAGTGGTCTGTGATCGGTGATGTTTTAAGTTATTACATTTATAGTCAATATTATATACTATTAACTTAATTAGTATATATTATTTATTACCGATTGTGGACTGTCGTATAAAACGAACAATTTTAATGATTCGATGAGAAAATTAAGACAGTATTCTAGTTTTTATGCTGTTTTAAATAAAAAKTACCAAATATAAACATTAATAATTGTTTGTACTTTGAAAAATTAATTTAATATTCTATATAGATGAATATAATTATTGCTGACTTTTTTGTGTTTTTAGTTAAAATTGTAATAATACGTAGTCCGTTGATGATTGTATCCATTCACTTTAGAATTATCTACTTATTTCCAATACATGGTTATTATAATATGATATTTATATTTGTTACTGTAATACATATTTTTCATATTCGTAATAATATTATGTTAATAAATTAGGTAAATAAACAATTTTTATATTATTGTACCCTATATTATAACCATGTAAGTAAATGTGATAATTAATAATATTAAAAAAATGTACCTATATTATATCATAAAATATTTGATCGATGAGGATTGTTTTCATAAAATCAAAAATTGAAATAAATAGAACATAAAAGTTATTGTATCGTATTGGTCCTTAAATACCTTGGAATAGTATTAAGAAAGCTACAAAATAAAAATAATAATTTTCAATATAAAAATATAAAAATATCTATAATATTATAGTTATATTTTAGGTATTATATTACCTATATCTATATGCATAWTTAAGATGGAAATAACTTATCGTTAACCGACAATTAAAAACATTTAAAAGAAACATGAGAAACAATAATAAGAGAAAACGTTTAAATAGGTGTTGATTATTACGATTATCACCATTCGCCGTAGATTTAAATTCAGGTTACACTAGGAAATTCATAGAAATGTCAGTGCGATAATTTTGAAAATTGTAGGATGGTTACAACATAACCAAGAGCCACTCGGTCATTTGACACGGTCGTTTGTTTCGCTTATGATTAGCCCAGATCGTTTTTCTTCCGTAAGTCCTCCGTATTTGCTCCATATAACACAATATGTTCTATGGCTGTTACTTTTATGACCTATGTTACATGTTTTACGTACTCTATAGAATAACAAACAGTAGTTTTCTTTGTAATCAAAAATAATGTTGTGGTTACGTATTACAATTATTTAGTATTAATTTATATTTTACAAATCATTTGGTATACTTGGTAGGTTCTATTTTGATATAATCACTTTATGGTTACAAATAATATTTAAAAAAATATTACGATTTGATTATTCATTTTTTGAATTTAGATCAATAATTTATTTTTTACTAAAGTGTTGTAATACTTGTAATAATATCCTTGACTATTGTATAGTTAAGTAAAGTGTATAGGTAGCCATATGTAGGAATAAATATTAAACAGGACCATAATATTACTGTAAACTAATAAAGTTTCAAATAAAATTAAAGTTACATTTTAAGACTCTTTATTGTTGTATCTTATATCTATACTATCATATTATTTTCAATAGTACATAACAGTGTTTGTAGTAAGTAGTAAGTGCACTGTACAAGGTGATTCACTATGCACACCACCGCTCTTTTTTTATACAATAACACAGTTGGGTAAAATATATTTACTTGAATTTTTAAATATAGATACAGCAGAGACAATTGGGGGACTTGTACAGTATTAATTTACAAGATAATTTTCGAAAGTTTTTTTTGAAATTTGAACAAGTAATTTTTAAGTTATTTAACTTTAGGTCCATGGTAATGAGAAATTCTAATAACAATACCTATTTATAATTTATAAAAATGGCCCAAGTATGATTAATACTATACACCCGATATTACACAGATAAGCAGAGGAATTATATATCAGTGTATTAAAAAGTGTAATTTCATTTAACAAATAAATAATAATATTACCTAATACCTTCGAAGTATATAATTGTTATTACATTTTATTATAGATGTACAAATTGTATGCTATAGTGATAATACAGAGGTGTTTCACCTTTCACCCTCTTGGGTAACATACCCCGGGGCTCACTTACAATTTTTTTTTTTTAATGCAAATCGATTCAATAGATAATACCTATGAACAGTTTTTTTAAATTATTATACAGCAGTTATATTGTTTGTGATTTGTTTTAATATTAATTTGGTTTAYAGGGTTGGTAGGATGCTGGGCAACTTCAACTGAAACCCGATGTAAATTCCCTGGTGCCCCAGCACACTCAACTGTATCGTTTTCCAATGATACATTAACTACAGGTGCAATAGCTACGTATACTTGCGAAAGAGGATTTGAACTTCTAGGACCAGCAAGAAGAGTATGTGAATCTACTGGTGAATGGCTACCAGAAGGAATACCGTTTTGCGGTAAGTTTCAAATTTTTCCTTTCTTAATTTGWAGATAAGTATATATAAAATATAAATACGTATAAGTCGTGGTACATATATAGTTGAATACCTCTATGACCATATAAATTAAAACTTTGAGTAAGGTTTGATCAAGAACTATTTATTTATATATTTCGAGTTTTTGATTAATTTTTAATCGATAAAAAATGTTTTCCTGCTTTGTAAAAGATACGCATGTTAGATTTTTAAACTATTTTGATATACTGATAGAAAGTATTCGAACTTATTCTGTACTCAACGATTACTTTCCTTATTATTTTTAATTTTCTATATTGTATAACAATTGATTAAGTACTATAGAAGAACTGTTTATTTTACAAATAATATTTTTTCATTATGCGTTTTTAATAAACATTATATCATTCTTTTGTTGTTGTTTTTGAACTTTCTCTCACGTTTAAAGGCAGTATCGGCACGATTGAAACAAGATTTAATTTTTTTTTCTATAACGGCTACATTTTGTGGAAGTAGTAAATGTTTAATAATATTCATTATTTACAGTATATTTTATTATAAATTGATACGCTTATAAAGTTATAACTCTTATAATAGTGTGTAACGTGTATATAAACTATATGTATAAAAATATTATAATGCAATGTAGATAAATATAGATAGTAAGCAAAAGATGAGATTATGTATGTATATTGTATATCCTCGAATTTATGTTGACGAAAAAGACGATGATTTTATAGTAAAATTAGTAGGTACCGTTGGACAAGATGATAAAAAAATAATAGATCATGATTGTCATCGGTTAAAATCATATAAAGTGGTAAATTATGCTCGTAAATTTAATGTTCCGTAAAAAGGTATATTTTCGTGAATAAAAAATATGGAATTTATTTTATAACAATAGTACACTGCTGAATGCTGATACTTCGACAGATTTTAGTACCGTAAAGAATTGTAGTATATATTATCCACAACAACAGCAAAATATCGATTAAAAAAACATTCCCTAGCTTAAAAAAAAATCATTAAACCTTTAAAATAATTATTTGAAACAAGCTCTTGTCGCTAGCTCTTGAACTATAGAGATATTATATTAATCATTTTAAACTCGAAAATAATGTATCTGCTGATTAACTTATTCACTTACAGATATTAATGCACCTATATTCATTTAAGTTTTTAGTACATTTTTTTAAAGATATTTAATGAATAACAAATATAGGTACAACAGTTCATACCTATGTAGGTACTTAAAAACAGGTAAATTATAAATCGTTTGCGATTTAAAAATCATTTTGAAAAAAAAATGAAAACAACTTGATTGATTTGATAACTCCCACGCCATAGGTACTTAAAACGTCTAAAACCTTTATAAAAATTAAGCAAAGTATAGAAATTCTGAATTAGAATATGCTGTATAATAATATTATATATGTATCTTATACCTCCTGAAAAGATAATCACGAAAATTCGTGTAATTCAAACCATGAGAATAATCATTGAAACAATTAATACATTTTTAGTAAGGTATTCAATTCTCTTTTACATCTAATGTAAGAAGTGAAAAGCTAATGTTTGTATGTGACCCTATTCTAACTTCCAATTTGGGGGACGTATTCAATCTTGTGATCTTGTGGGGCCGACACCATTRAATGCAGTATATTCTATCGCGGGACAAACCAATACTTATACCTATATAGTACATTGTATATATTATTATATACTCGGTAGTATAACCTATCCATGGAACACGCACAATATATACATAAAGAACCTGTTTTTCGGCATATAACGTTACTATAATTTTGCCACGTTGAATGATAAATTCAATTAATCACGGTTAAGAAGAAAAGTACTTGTGTTTATAAAAAAAGTGGGTATAATATTTGAATTTACATATTATACTATTGTCATATAATTGAAATCGAAAATGAGACACAATGAGAACATCGACAAAGGCGCGTGCACTTATTATCTTATTGATATGTGATGACACACATAAAATATTTCCTCGATCAAATATAACATTAATTTTATGTCACACACTCATACAAAAATCTTTTTGTCACTGTGATGAATTTAAACATACGTTATTATTATTATGGTACTTTGCGTGTTATGTACACGTTAATACGTGGCCCATTTTTTCGGACATACTTCTACGTCTTCCCATATTATAATAGTCATAATACCGCTATTACAACGGTAAACTACACCTTCTTGCCTGCGTCTCGTTTCATTCCACCGCACGTTTAGATCTGACAATCGGCACCCATCGTTGAATGATAATTGTCAATCGGCATGAGTAATCGACGAGTTTGCCAAATCATTATCAAGATAGCAATCGTTCAAAATTCAATAGCTGTTTGTTTTTTCCTGACCTTAAAATTCYAACAATCCTTATAGATATAGGGACTAAGTATTATCAAATGAAAATATCAAATTCACGAGTTACAAAAATGGGTAAGACCATTTAAGAATAACTGATAATTAACTTTTTATTGTTTGACGAATGGGAGCTAATAATTGTTTTAAATGAGAAAGTTTGAACCTAAAAATGTTTAGTTTAGGCTTTTATTTTTGTATAAATTGTTTTCACAAAATTCTCATACGAAGAAGAAATATTTACCTCTATTTTTTTTATTTAATCACGTGTAATAATGAAAAATAAAAAATTTCGTTAATAGTTGCTGTTTAAAAATAAAATAKAACCTTATATCTAGCTAATTTCAAATATATAATTATCAGGTATACGAGGTACATACAATAATATATCAATATTAAATATTAAACATTGRCGAACACGCAAAATAAAAATGTTCAGGAATTAATATATTATATAATTATGGCTGTACATCATTGTTTATTAGATTATATTATATCGTATTTTCGATTGTAATTTTTGTTCATACGTAATAATTATTATATAATGTGTTACTTTTAAATTACCTGAGCTCTTAAAATCAAAAAAAGTTAAAGTTGTTAATATATGTATAGCCGTATAGGTATATAAAATATGGCATTACCTTTAAAAACAGTTAAGGACTTCTGTATTGACTTCTATGATATTGTATTTAGATTATTATTATTAATAATTATTAATTGGCATTTTATGAATGAATTCTTCTTCAAATTCGATTCGGTAAATTATGAAAATGTTACTTACTATTTTCCTACTATTAAATATAATTGTGTTACTGAAAAATAGACATTTGTATTAATACCAACTAATACGGTGAGCATCTTCAAGATATGTGGGTAGGCAAGTAATGTTTTTTTTTTATTATTTATAAGAGTCATCTGAGCGTTATAAATCCGTAAAATTCGCTCCATAATTGACCATTTAAATAGTACATGGGTAATGAATTTACCTATGTCGGATAAGCGTGGTCTCTTAACCTCAATATATGCTATTGTGTAGACGTGTAGTGGAAACGCATTTAACCAATATTTAATACATACATAATACGCATACACACGATGAATTAAAATAATCTTATAATATTTTAGGAAATTTATTTTTAATAAATATTTATTTTTTTTTTTTTATTGATCATTTACAACTTCGGCAACAAAGGCCATTAGTTATTTTATTTAATAAATATTTTGTTTTTGCCATAATAATTAATTTATAATGTTTCTTAATTTAAATACAATTATTAATTGGTTCAAATGTGTAGTTAATAATTATTYATATATTATCATAATTTGAAACTTAGAAATATAACTTTAAAGAAAATTTGCTCTCTAAGATTATGTTGTTTTGATAAGGTAAAGAATGCATAAAGACTATAGTCTACTTATTATTACTTTTATTACCTTATTTATCACATATTCAAATTCAATCGATCATGCCTATAAGCATAATATATGATATGATAATATAAACATTAGATCAACAATATATAAAATACAAAAAAAAAATGAAGTTTTACAAAAAATTAATGTCATCAAAGTTATTAACGTATATATTGTGTGGAAATAAATGCTAGTAGAGTGTGATATTATTTGCCCAAATTTTAATAAATGCATATATTCCAAAAAAATGTATTTAACAATATTATTTTTGTATAGGTATCAAATAATAAGTTGGTTAATAATAAGTATAGGTAGGTTGGTACTTAGGTACATTACTATTTATAATAAAGTGTACAATAAACAATAATGATAAAATGCAAAACAATTATTATTRTTATGCAATAGTTCTTTTATGTTAGACCGACTGAATGAGGCTGGCAGAATGTTTAAAAAAAATAAAACTATACTAACAATGTTCCAGCTAGGAGTATATAATATGCATGAAACTATGCAGTTTAAGTCAAAAAAATTATACGAAAACCATATTTGCATTGGGTCATCCTGTGCCAAATTAACGGTGCTTGGGAGACGAGCCAATATTACACAAACAATACGTGATCTTCCTATATTTGTGGGAGAAAATTTAGGTCCTGACCGCTTTTCAACTTCTAGTGGGCTACGTGTATCACAGATTAAAAACAAGTTAAGCAGCCATTGTATTTATTAATAAATTTATTAGATATTATAGAATCGTGATGGACACTACGTGCGAGAATTCGCTTTTATAAACATATATGGAATGATTATTTTTCAGTATGATATAGGCAGCTATAACACATAAATTGGTAACGGTGTCCAAAAACAATAAAGTTTAAAAGCCAAAAGCCAGACAAAGAATGCATTTCGAGGGTCTTTGTTATTAGCTGAAAATGTATTTTATTATTTTCCATATTAATTATTGTCATCAATGTGCAGTCTGTGTCCATGGTTAAATTTTACTGATACGGTTTGATTCGTAATTCCTGGTTTTGTTATTTATTGCAATTCCATTTACAAAAACTTTTTTTGTCGGCTGAATTCGTATAATTTACTTTCTATTAAACATATTTTAAAACTTGTTAATAATACTTACATACATCGTTAAAGATTTAATATTTATATCTATTTAGAGTTACGTCACATCAAAATAAAATAACATAAAAATA